CCGCCACCACCACCACCACCACCACCACCACGAGGACCGATAGGCGGACCACCTCGACCCCCACCTGCCCTGCGTCCTGTACGTCCACCGCCGCCGCCACCACCACCACCGCCGCCGCCGCCGCTCAGCGGGACACGAGGATCGATGTTGGCGCCGCGACGGGCCATGGGCGGTGGCGGCGATAGCTTCCTCCTCGGCAGCACGATGGACACGTTGATGGTCGCGCCGTCGACCTGCGCCTCGTGCATGTGAGCTATGGCATCTTCAGCATCGGCCTCGTCGCCGTAGAGAATGTAGGCTGTGCCACGGTTGGTGCCGACTGTATTTTTTTGGTTGTTATTTTGGTCACTGGTCAGTACAGCTCTGGCCGACGGAGAAAAGAGGTCGTGGGGAGGAGAAGGAGAAGAGGAAGAGGGAAGAAGAGAGAGAGAGAGAGGATGTGTATGTGTGTAGAAGGGAAGGGAAGCTCACGATTTCGGCTCAGGGGAAGATCAAGGTCCACGATGGGACCGAAAGCGCCGAAGATCTCATACAGGTGATCCTCGTTGATATTCCTCGACAGTCGCTCCACGACGATCTGATCAGAAGCGTATCAGCACATATCCTTCCAGCGATTGCTCAACATGTCTCTCTTATCCTTTCCGCGAAATTGCCGAGGAAAGAGGGTAAAATAAAAATAAAAATAAAAATAAAATAAAGATAAAAAGAGGAAAGAAAGAAAGGAGACCTACCTTTGTGCCTTTCGGCCCATCACTGATCCCCCTACTCCAGCTCCTGCTCCGACTCCGACTCCGGCTACGGCTTCTGTGCCGTCCAACCCGTCTAGGCGAGCGATATCGCAACCTCGACGGTGATCGGGACAGCGAGCTCGAACCGTAGCGACGCCGCCGAGGCGCAGGCGAGCGGGAGCGAGAGCGGGAGGGGGAGCGCGAGCGCGTCGGCGCCGGGGAGCGAGAACGAGAACGCGACCGCGACATGGGACGCGCTGGCGGCGGCGGTGGTGACTCGTCAATGTCCATGTCTTATCTGCCTCTTGTCCAGGACTCTCAACAGGTGCCCTTTTAGTCTTGGTTTCCCGTTTCGCAGAGCGCGCACGGCCAATTCGAATCGTTCCTGCTCTTGCTTCCAGGTGGAGGAGTGGAAGGGGGGAACGTTGCAGAGGACAGATCGCGTGGGAGCGCGACGCGTATCGTTTGGTACCGATTGAACGACTGGAGAGAACTTGAAATCTTAAAAAGCTGCTGGTATTTGTATTTGATCTTTTTGGGGGGAGGGGGGCGACGACTCTCCCCGGTATTATGACGTTGGTAAACAGACGAGCAATGGCTATTCTTTCTCCCTCTGGTTGCTGATATTAGAAATTGGCAGGCGTGGGCAGTTGAGATGTCACGTGGGTTGACTGCACCTTGAACTTGAACGTCTGGTCTCCTTCACCTTATGTTTGTCTTGTGTCAAGCCGGTGAGTTTCACTCTTCGCTTCCTTTCTTACTATGTACTCTATCACCGCTCATCTTCCAATCTTCCAACACACAATATCCACGACAATTCACAACGTTCACGACAGTAGACCTAGTGGTAAGGAGTAATCTGCTGGACGGCAACTTTATGGGTGAAGTGAGAGATGCCCCGGTACCCAATAATAGGGGTGATAGAATAGATATACCCTCTACACTGCAGAACAAAACAAGGAAACCAATTAAACTATTGTAATAGCAAAAGAGAAATAATCATGAGTCCAACTCCTCGTAGTAGGCAACATATACCCCATCTAATTTTACTTTTTTTTTTCTTTTTTCCTTTTACGTCTTAGAGGTTTTTTTTTCTCTGGCTCCTCGTAAGGATGTGCATGTACCGCCACTTTACATGGGGGGGATACCCTCGTACTCTGCGTATCCTAGAGCCAGGTTCATGTTTTCTGTCATATCTGTCAGCGTCCCATCCATGCTCTCACAGGTGGCGGAAAGAGTGTGAGAGGAAAGGAAGAAGAAGAGGAGGAGGAGAGATGGATGAGAAGGAAGAAGAGAAAGGAAGAGAAGAGAGAAGAAGACGTACGCAAGCACTGGGTGGCAGCTCCCTTGAGAAGGTTGTCGATGCTAGCGCAGACGACGACCCTCTTGCCTGTCGAGTCGACGGCAAAGCCGCCGATCTCGACGCCGTGGCGGTTCATGATGCCCCTGACCAGGGGAGGCTCGCCGACGACCTTGACGAGCTTCTCGCCCGCGTACCGGTCCTGGTAGATCTGGCGGATGTCGCGAGACGTCATGGTCTTGTTCAGGGGGATGTTGATGGTGTGGTGGATGCCGCGGAACCACGAGGCGACGTGGGGGATGAAGCCCACCGGGTATCCGAGGTGGTGGCCGATCTCGCGCTCGTGCACGTGACCCGTCAGGCTGTAGGGCATCAGGTTGTCGCGGAGCTCGTTGATGTCGTTCTTGGGAGAAGGCTTCGTGCCGGCACCCGAGTATCCCGACACGCCAAAGACCGTGGGCTGACCGCCGACGTGCTCCAGTATCGGGGCGATGCCCAGCTGGGCGGCCGTGGCGTAGCAGCCGGGGTTGGAGATGCGCGTGGCCTGAGTGATCTTGGAGCGCTTCGTCAGCTCGGGGAGGCCGTAGGTCCACGTCTCGTCGTCGAACCGGTAGTCGGCCGACAGGTCGACGATCACGCTCCTGCTGTCGCGGCCGGCGCTGCCGTTGGCCTTCTGGGCCCCGTCGATGGCGTCGATGAAGGGCTTGCACACGCCGTTGGGGAGGGCCATGACCCAGCAGTCGATCTGGCCCGACTTCTCCAGGCCGGCCACGTCCTCGGCCGACAGGTTCTCGTAGATGACCTTGCGCTTGGTGTAGCCCTTGAGCTCCTGGCCGGCCAGCTCGCGGGACGACACGTGGCGGAGGTCCATGAAGGGATGGTCGTTGATCAGGTCGATGAGAGCCTGCCCGGTGTAGCCGCGGGCTCCGATGAGACCGACGCGGGCGGGGACGTCGTTGGAGGCGTTCTTCTTGCCCAGGGGGGGGTTGGGGTTGGTCGTGGCCGTGGCGTAGCCGCGCCTGTGCTGGCCGGAGAAGACCGAGACGGGGGACGGCGAGGCCGAGTGGGACAGGACCCGCGGCGAGAGGGCGGCCGACGCGGTCGAGTAGCTGCGCGCGGGCTGGGTCTGCGAGTTCTTGAGCGACTGGCTGGCCGTCAGGGCGGCACGGCGCAGGCGGGATTCCAGGTTGGAATCACCCATCATGGCACGGCCGTGGGAGACGAAGTCCTGGTAGATGGGTACGAGGTCGTCGGAGCCGAGCTCGCACCCGTAGTAGAAGAGGACGGAGCCGTTGCGGTTGAAGGTGCCGTCAGCCTTGTCGAAGAACCACGTCAGGTTCTCGTCGTCCTCGCTGACGGTCCAGACGAGGCTCGGGTTGTCCTTCTTGATAGAGGCGAACACGTTCTCGGCCACGTTGCTCAGCCAGCCCGACTTGGTGATGTTGAGCGTGGCCAGGGTGGCCATGGGACGGGTCTTGCTGGGGGGCATGACGACGGCCAGGCACTGCATGCCCTCGTCGAAGTAGGCAGTGAACGGGTTCTCGGCGAGGAAGTCGAGGAAGCGGTCGACGGTGGCCTCGGCATCGAGACCCTCGCGGTCGCGGATGAGGGTGGCCTTGACCTTTTCGAGATCGCCAAACTCGGCGACCGACGTCACCTTCTGGATCTTGTCACCGCGGCGGATCATGGTTCCGGCGCCGGAGTCGGTGAAGAGCTCCTTCTGGAGGTCGCTGGGGTGGATGATGGCGACGCTGGAGCTCCGGGGGAGGGTGTCGAGGAGTTCCTTGATCTCGCGGATCTTGAGACGCGTTCCGTAGCGGCACCAAGGCTGGGACATGAGGTGGTCAAACTCCTCGTCGAGGTTGATGTGGGAGATCTTGTCGCCGTCGCCGTCGAACAGCCCACCCTTCTCCGACAGGTAGACGACCTTGAGGGGCTCCAGGGCACGGGCCAGCTCGGCAGCGGCGACGTCGGCATTGACGTTGAGCAGGCGGCCGTCCTCGGACTCGGCCATGGACGTCATGATGGGCACGTAGCCGGCCTCGATGGACCTCTCGATCGCGTCCTTGTTGACCTTGGTGATCTTGCCGACGTACTTCCATTTCTCCTTGTCGAGGTAGTCGGCCATGAAGACGCCGCTGATGGACCTGGTGGCGACGCCGAGCTCGTCGAGGCGGTCCGTGAGCTTGAGGTTCTCCTCGAGGAACAGCTTACGGGCGATGCCCAGCGTCTTCTCGTCGGTGACGCGGATGCCCTCCTCGAACTGGGGCTCGACGCCGGCCTTCTCGAGGAGACGGTTGAGCTGGGGGCCGGCACCGTGCACGATGACGGGGTACAGGCCCAGCTCGTACAGGAAGAGCAAGCTGCGGCACAGCTCGTCCAGGTACTCGGTCAGGATGGCGCCGCCGACCTTGATGACGGCAAACTTCTGCGACGATACCGACGTGAACAGCTTGAGGTACTGCTGACCCTCGCGCCTGCTGCCGATGCTGCTGACCGTCTGGGCCACGATCTCCCTAGTGCGGTCGCGCGTCGGCAGCGACGACAGGACCCGAGTCGTCGAGATGGCCCGCCCGCTCTCCAGGCATCTCGTCGACTTGGCGGCGGCGGCAACTGACAATCCGCGGGCGGAAACCGCTCGACGGGCACCAGCCCTGAGGGCCACGGCGGTGGCAGACAGCATGGTGTCTGGTTTTGTGGGCTGCGGGTACTGTGCTGGTGCGCTGTGCGTGTGCTCTCGACCCAATTGACGGGAGGAGTTTTTTCTTCTCTTCTCTTCTTCGATCGGATGGGTTTGGATGGGAGAGACGCTTCTGTCGTCGTCGCAATCCGCAATCCTCGAGGAGGGAGGGGGGAGGGGGGGGGGGRGGAGAAGGGRGAAGRGGRGGAGAAGGAGAAGGTGCAAAGAAGAGAAAAGAAGAACGAAAGAGAAGGACGAGGGGAGAGAGTAAAGTGCCTCGGATTCCTAGACCGGCGGTCACGATGAGATAAATTGGCTGGTTGTGTCGAAACTCTGTGGGGGAGGGGCCTAAGGCGGTTTTTTTTTTTCTGTCCCTCAGCTCATCTAATTGCCGAAGTCGCTCGCTTCGGTCGATGGGAGCCACTCACAGACTCTGACCTTTTCCTTGGCACAGCACTTTTTAATGTACTCAATACGGCTACAGGCTAAATATCATGATCTGTTACAAATCGCATCTGCAACATGCACAGAAAAGAGCTCATAGTATTCTGCAGAATGCCTCTGGGATTCTGTCTGTAATGGAATCTAATACCGACCACTAATATGCAATGCATGCCCGCTACATTCTGACTGCCTTATTCGTACAGGAGCGTCCAAGCAGACAAACAGGTGTTGCCTGTGCCTACAGAATGTGTTGCGTGAAATTGGTACTTGTACAGTGGGGAGAATGTCCATCCCATTCTTAGTTTAGTCTTTTTTTTCCCTTTTTTTTTATCAATCAGTCCGCCGTTGATCCTCCTCGCACGTTGCTATGCCGACACGGAGCAAAACGAGAGCCGGAAAATATAGGACATCACATGATGGCATTACGTATTTTTGCAATATCCGATCATGGAAAGAAAAACGACATTGTAGCTTCATTATAATCACGGGGCCAAAAGTAACCCCAGTCTTCATTCCGTACATGTAGTTGAAACAGGCTAATGCTCCAACAAGAGATATTAGAGCACTGGCATCTCGTCTTCACAGCCAAAACCGAACCGGCTAGACCGGCGAGATGAGAGAGAGAGGAGGGGTGGGAAAGAGAAAGAACAGGGAAGGAAAAAAAAAAAGAGAACTAATCATGGCCAATATGAACCAACTCCCGCAGCAGATAGCCCCAACTTAAGACTCTTAATGCGTTCGCATGGGTTGGCAAAAGGTCCGTTCACAATTCGCCTCGTTCCCCGCGGAGCATCCCAGAGTCTCGGTCGCAGGCAGAAAATAAATAAAAAAGGAAGGGAATCTCGTCAATCTCTGACCAAGGACATAACGCTTTCATCGAGTGGCAAACACTATAGTCTTTGTCAGTCTCCAAACGGAGCAGAGCAGCTGATGGATCTTGTCACGACATACCGGCGGGTAAGATGATGATGAGAAGGAGGATGATGATACCGACGACCAGGCAGATGCGCATCTTCACATCCTTCCACCACATCTGCTTGCGGACCCTGTTGGCACCACGACGGAAGCCCTGGGCCGACATGGCCAGGTTGTCCGTCTTGTCCTGGAGGGAGTCAAGGCGCTCACCACGCTGCGACACCTTGTTGATGTTGTCGCGCATGACGCCGACCGTGTCGTCGATTTGCTAAGAATCCAAGTCATTAGTGCTTTTGTTTCTTCCCATCAACCGTCGCCATAGGTAGCTCGGCCGGTCGGTTCGCACGTGCGCGTTGGGACATCTTGGCTGGACGCAGCAGCTGCTGCACCACCCGTTTGGGTGTGCAACAGTCTGACAACGTTCAAGACCCCCTAGGGGTGCGCCAGTCTCCGACGAACTACCATCACGATGACACTCGGTAGGTCGAGGTGCATAGCAGCAAGGTACGGCGACCGGTTGCCCCGGAATCAGGCCATAATCCGACCATCCGCCCACGTTCATGCGAAAAACCACCCGAGCAGTCCTCGATCGTGAAAATGTACTCACCGCCTGGAGAGCCTGTGTCCTGGCGTTACCGCCATTGCCCTGCTCCTGATGAGGTGCAGCCTGGCCGCTGGGGATGTAAGGGTCGTAGGGGGGGTCCTGCTCAGGCATGATTGCTGTGTTTTTGTAGTCGATCGTGGTCGGGTTCGATGGGACGATTCGTCAGAGGATGGCTATTAAACACAGGAAGCTGCGCTTTGGGAAAGAGGAAGAAAGGGGGAGGAGAGGGGGGGGGGGGGGGGGGGGGGGGGGGGGGGGGGGGGGGGGGGGGGGGGGGGGGGGGGGGGTATCGAGTTGCGTGGGTTGATGCGAATGAGGAATATGGAGAGATGAAAAAAAAAAGTTGGGGGATGGAGGGCGGAACAGAAGGAAGAAGAAGGGAGAAGCCCGAAAAAGGCCACCGGGGGGGGGGGCAACGGGACGCCTGGAAATGCACGCTGAAAAGGCCGCTGGTCGCCTGAGCCTCGTTGGGGGGGAGGCGCTACTGCCCTCCCGGGGTGACGACAGCAACAGAGGCGCACGCCCACCCCCCGGGGCTACCCGCCACCTCATCCTGCGCCCACAGGCCTTGGCTCCCTGGTTACCATTCCCTAACCTGGCGGACCAATCCAAAAAATTTCTATTTTCGTGACCAGAGGAACGGTGATGCGCCACGTGTGGCTGGTATCCCGACTGAACTAATCATATTATTATATTATTCCGCCTTCCCCTTTAACCCCAGCCTGCGTATACTCTGCGCTGGTAGATTCCTGGCTTGCCAGGCAGGTGTGTGCTCTGTTGACTGTGATCTCTGTGTGGCAGGTGAGGTTTCACCTTCACCACATCCTGGTGGCCCCCCTCCCGAGTCGACTCGATGCTCACCTGCATGCTCGCTTGCTTTTGAAAACCCCTAGAATCGGTAGTAACCCTGCTGACACACTGCTCAAAACCCTGGCTGCCGCAGGCGTAGACAGGCTGGCTCCGGGTCCGATGCTAAGATGTGGCTGATTCTTGTGGCTGTGCATCGCCCGGTACTCATCTTACGGGTACGCGTATAATACATCACAGTCATACCGGTACACGTCGGTAATCACGCGTAGTTAACACGAGTACGAGCAATCTGTACGTATTACTATATCCTGTGAGCACCGGTACTCAGACGGCGTTGTCGGATCGAGTGGCAAAGTACTGTTAGGCTAGTATTACATATAATTAACGGCATCTGTACTGTACGAACTCGGAGATTTAGCTAGCAGTTCGTATTCGTCAAAAATGTACGTTACTCTGCGATCATGACAATTCCTGTGCTCTAGTGTATTATAATGCTGCCCGCCCCTGTGTCATGTGGTCACTTGTATGGCACGCGGGCCGCGAAGCCTGTGCTCCTCCAGGACAATGACTCCCAACGCCATCATCTCCGGAGCTGGGGACGTTGACATCTACCATCTTTGGGTGCCACAGATTGATCGCAGAGGCAAGCTAGCCCACTTCTTGGCTCGCTCGAACGTACTCGCCGTGCCTTGGTGATCCATGGCCGGTATCATGTCCCTGGCAGCTGGTGGCTCAATGCTATAGCTTCGGCCAGCCATGCAGTCCGTCTCTGCAAGCCTAGCCTCCAGCTTGTACACATAGCCCGGTGGGGAGACCTCTACATTATACCATGCAGTCAGCAGGCCAGTCATTCGGAAGGGGGGGCTCTCCGGTCATCTTGCGACGCACCTCTTGTTCATCTCAAGGTACAGGCACGGTGAGCCATGGTGTGAACACTGCCCCCCCCCCCCACTGGTGGGACTGGCCATGTCAGTAAATGTCAATTCTCTCAGTGGAAATGCTAGGATTCACATATGAATCTATCGCACTGGAGGAAGCCAGAGTCAGTCTCGACGTGGACGCCCTGCAAACCTAATCGTGATAGTACTCACCTTGCGCTTCCTCGGAACTCAAAGGCAATAGAGTGCCGTCCGTTGTCGGTGATATCGGCCATGAACAGAAGTTTACTAGTTTTGGTTTTCTCCTAGTCCGTATATCATCACTGAGCCTACCTCCCGTAAATAAGGGCTTCATGCGTGATATGGGCGACCATGAGTCGGTGCGGTTCGTCGGCAGCAGCAGCGGCATATACTTGATCCGCAACGTGCACATGCGACTTTCACGACGTTCTGCCCACCGGAGGACACTGTAGGCCCAGAAGGATCCATCATATTCGGATGGCCATGGGCTTGAGAAGCCTGTCCGATTTTTTCCAGGGGAAGATGACCTTCTGATATGGTTTCCTCGACGGAATAACGCCGGCGAGGATGGCTGTGTAGGGAAGCAGTGTGGGATATCTAACGATGACAGGACAGCCTCGTTTGATAAGCCGGTGGCATGCTCAAGGAGCTACTTTGATTCATGGCACTCGATATTGCCATTCCTCAACGGGCCAAGGGTCCTCAAGATCTTTGAGCACGCCAGCAATAGTAATGTATCATCATTGCACTATCTAGCTCGGTGTATGCTGCGTTCTGTCCTGTCAACATCACTCGCCGACACTCGTCAAGGTACATCCCTGAGGAAGCCATCCCTGCGTCTCACCTCTTTCAACCCGTCGACGAGGCGGTGTTGAGCTCCCAGTTCGCCCCTCGCCAGCCCAGGTCGATCCGAGCTATCCAGACGGGCATAGGTATCCAGCTGTTCCTGATATGCATGCTGTGCCCCGACGCAGTGTCTTGGCTAGGTGGGCTGATGGTCCGAATGGCCCTTCACCTTGGTCTCCACCGATGTCCAACGCGTTACCCATCCTTCAGCTCCCAGGAGTCGTTGCGACGGCGTAGGGTATTATGGTGTCTTTACTGCTGTGAAAGGCTTCTCTCCCAACGTTTCTGACTGCCGCTCGACATGAGAGATGACAGTATAGATGTTCTGCTACTACAGGTAGGAGCAGCACGAAACCGACTTGGAGAATGAGGCGAGATATGACGAGCGGCTGCGTCTGCTCACTTGCATGACCAAGCATGTCAAGATCCGCGATCTAATCCTGGAACTGCGCAGCAAGTCTACCCATACCCGCCATGACACGACAGAAAGCTTGGCGGCGGTCCAGACGGAGTCCAGACGGAGCTGACTAGGTGGTTCAACAAGACCCAGGATAACGTGGAGGGGAAAGCTGACGGCAGCGATCTTGAACCGAGGATGTCCAGTAACCATATATTGGTACTTCTGCCATCAAAGTATACGTCAACCATCTCAATCAGCAGGCCTAGCATGGTGTCTGACCCGTCAACACTACCGTGGTCTGCCGCCACGCAGGCTTGCATCTCAGCCGCCCAGTTAATCTGTCCACTAGGCCAGAGTACTGCCTGTCTGCCATTGATGAGCTCACGTCTGCTATCGAAAAGCTTTCACAAGCCGGCGGCATTGTCCCGGGGCCGTCGGAGAATGTGATATTAGCTGAAACATGATGGGTAAGCAATATCATTACCCGGCACCATGATAATCAAGCTCAAAATGCCGCCACTGACCCAGGACCGAGATGGATGACGAAGCCATTACTCGGCAGCCCTCATGAGTAGTCTCCGTTGGCAGGCAGCGACTCGGTCAAGCCGGTTCGACAGTATCCAGATCCTTTAGACTCTGACCGCGTCCTGCCGAGACGGGCAATGCCACCCAGGTCGACAAGGAAGTCGGGACGTGTGATTCTGCGTGACAGCAAGATCCAGCGCCGTAGCACACAGCCCACCGATATGGCTCAGCAAGTTGTCTCACGTGACAATGGCCGCGCTTGGATACCTTCTCTGGCCGGACGGCAGTTTCATTCATCTGTGGGGATGGGAGCTGCCAACATGGGACTAGATGATATATCAGGGTGAGGGACAAAAGTCTACGATGTGGTGTGACCAGTTGTTTGACAGCTTTTTTTTTATAGCGCCATTGATAGTCCATTTCTAGCGGCAGCGCAGTTCGATTCCTCGATAGATCCAAAGTGGTCATATCTTCGGTAGTTGATTGAAATGATCGGTGGTGATAATTAATCTCACGCGAAGAGCATGCTGCTCATTAGAGAGGGGAAAAAAGATGACTGCTCGTATGGGATACTGACACAAATGATCAGCATTATTGCATTCGGAAGAGGCTGAAGAAGTCCTGGCGTAATAGCAGACGACATGCCCTCCACATTTGTTCCGTACATTTGTTGCGTGAGTGCTCCATAGTACGGCTGCGAGGAGTGATGATTACTGTAATGGTACGGAGGAGTAAGTTCATAAATATTGAAAGGACTGGAAACATCGAGAAACGACCGTCGATTGCTTGTCTGTGTGTGTGTGTGTGTGTGTATCGACTTTCCGGGCTACAGGCAAGTATGCAAGTATACTGGTCGTGCTCGTGCAAAGCCCAAGGCAGAACTGATGGAATAAAACCAGGTCAGGGATGTCGAAGCCAAGTTGAGGCCACTTGCTCGTATTATGTTTTGTCTTTCCCCTGAAGGTGGTGTGGAAGTCATAACAATACGAGCCCTCGAGGATTGGTGGATGATGAAAGAAAGGTATTACGACGTAATGGAGGGTTGAAAGACAAGAGCGTTGGAGGAAGGGAAGGAAGGAAAGAGGGGCCCGGAGGCTGGTGCGACCGATTGCGCTTGCCGTCATTATTAATAAATTATAATATTACTAGAAAAGGAAGAAAAATGACAGGGAAGGCAAGATGTGCAGGGGGGAACTGGGGAGGTGCAAGGGGTGGGGAAACAGAGCCACCAACTCGTAACTGGCAACTGGCAACTGGCAACTGGCAACTGGCAACTTCCCCCGCTACTTCCTTTGAAATCGTTATGCTTGCTTATGTCATGCTTCTTTCTTCCTTTTGTTTCTTTTCTAATCTGCAATCTGTACAGATTGCCTTGATCTCGTTCTTTAATCCTTTGATACGCTATACGTGTATGCTTCATTCTCTGATATCACATACAGGTACTTCCCCTATCAAACGGATATGACGTTGGCAATTCTGTTCGAGGTCTTGTACACTCTGACAGCTAATACCGGTATTCTTGCTATCATCGATACATTTCTTTCCCCCACGTCACTATAGTTGAAAAAAGCATAATACTAACAACGCACAGAGTTTACTTGACACCCATCCATCCGATTTGATCGAGTCAACTACTGCTACTACGGCCGGATAAGCCAGAGAGATGGCAGGCCACTTACAAGTCATGACCCATCACAGTCTTCGAGAGCTGTATAGATTACTCCGTATCGTCCCACAACCACAAGAACAGTATCCCAGTGTCTTTGTCGTCTCCCCTCTCTTCCCGTGGAGCGACTGTACAGAAACACGAGCTGATTAGCACCACATTTCCACATTATTCACTCTCGTGCACATCACCCACCCCATCAGGCAACTGATATGCTGCCGTGTCTCTCCGTGTAATGTTTTGCTCCAGAATAATACTGGCAGAGAACGAGTGCCGTGGGTCCTGGACTCCTAGCTGTCCACAGCAGCGGTTGAGGAATGAATTGATCCCGACTAAAGGCCATCGACGTCATGACAGCACACGCGCCAACATCCAAGATGCGTGTACGTACTTGCACAGGTATTCCGTACAGCGGCACGGTCATGCTGAAAATCCTCTTACTGTTGACTACTATTAATATCCTATGATGGTGATTGCATACGACCCGCCTCTAGTATTGGGTCCAGTTGTTATTCGTAATTATCCGGCGCATTGTCCCTGACTCTTGGTAATAGCGAGTGTCTGGGAATCTCCCATCCCTATCAACGCTCTCGACCCTCCTTCCCGTCCCTTCAACATCGCGAGCGCACCATACCATTCCGCATACCACAACCGCCTTCATCTCCGAAACAAAATGTGCTTGCTCTCCCATCGCTCGTTTATTACGTCGGCATAGGGTTCCACCGCCGAGCACAGATACACACGCCAATAAGTCGAGCCTTTTGGCTCCTATATCGACTTGAAGATCCAGATTCGATCTTAGTCTTGGCATCACAAGCTTCCTACCCTCTTCAACTCACCCATCCGTCTCACTCGTTATCCAGGAGCGTCGCTGCAATTCCCACCAGGAAAAGCAATCACATGGAGCGGTCGTAAAACTTCGCAACTCTTGTATCGCCAAAGTAAATTTTTTATACCCTTTCAATAACTATCGGCTTCCACAATGCATCCCCTTCGCTGCCGGGGCGGGCGATCCGTCGGCCAAGTCCTTGTCGCCTCGCTACTGGCCACCAACTCAGTTTTACCAGTGCAAGCAGCCTTTAACCTGGATACCAACTCCAAAGGTAGTCAATTCACCTCGAGATACGTATCCCAAATGTGTAACATTGAGATGGTATATCAAGAGACGGACTGACACGATGCGCAGAGTCCGTCACCTCGGTTGCCAAGCAATTGACCAAGGACATGATGTCCTTTTACCATGGAAACGAGCCCGGGAACACGCCGGGTTTGCTACCCGAGCCGCCCTATTACTGTAAGCTTCAATGTTACCTGAGCAGACATGCGATCCCTGTTCCCCTCCCTCTCACCAGTCTACTTCCAACAATGGGACCCTGACGACTTATCTAGGGTGGGAAGGAGGCGCCCTGATGGGCACTCTGATCGAGTACTGGTACTATACCAAGGATGAACAGTACGTCTCCATGACACAAGACGGCCTGCTCGCCCAAAAGGGCGAAAACGACGACTACATGCCCGACAACCAGACCCTCACCGAAGGGAACGACGACCAAGGTTTCTGGGCGCTATCCGTCATGTCCGCCGCCGAATACAACTTCCCCCACCCGGGTGGCGGTCAGCCCTCGTGGCTGGCCCTGGCGCAAGCCGTCTTCAACACCCAGGCTCCACGATGGGACGAATCGAGCTGTGGCGGCGGCCTCCGGTGGCAGATCTTCGAGTGGAACAAGGGCTGGGACTACAAGAACTCCATCTCGGCGGGCACCTTTTACGCGCTGGCGGCCCGCCTGGCGCTGTATACGGGCAACTCAACCTACACGGAGTGGGCCGAGAAGACGTATGACTGGATGACGTCCGTCAAATTCATCGACGACAAGTTCTACGTGTATGACGGGGCGCATATCCCTAACAATTGCACCAACATTGTCCCCTATCAGTTCACCTACAACGCCGGCTGCTTCATCCACGGCAGCGCCGCCATGTACAACCTGACCGAGGACGAAAAGTGGAAGACGCGCCTCGACAACCTCCTCGACGGCGCCGACATCTTTTTCCGCGGCTCCGGGAACGATGTCATGGAGGAGGTGTCCTGCGAGAGCTCGAATCAGTGCAACACGGATCAGGAGTCCTTCAAGGCCTACCTCAGCCGCTGGCTGGCCGCCACAACTCAGTGGGTCCCGTCTACGTACGAGCGCATCATCCCCAAGCTGCGCGGCTCGGCCGAGGCAGCCATCAAGCAGTGCACGGGAGGGGACAACGGGCGGCTGTGCGGCCTCCGCTGGAGTACCGGGAAATTTGACGGCACCACCGGTGTGGGGCCGCAGATGGCCGCTGTCGAGATCATCCTCTCCTGCAACATCAAGTACCGTGCCCGCATCTTCACCTCTGAAACGGGCGGTACGAGTAAAGGCGACCCCTCCGCTGGCGGTAAGAGCTCCGAGGATTCCATCAAGAAGCTCAAGACCATCAATGGCGGGGACACGGCCGGAGCTGCCATCGTCACCATCCTCATCCTAAGCCTCATGCTGGCCGCTCTCTTCTGGCTCTTCATGGACGAGGCGTCCGGCGAAGGCCCCCTAGACCAGGTCAAGGGCGGTGGTGCATCAATTTTGGCCGTCGCTTCCCTCGCCTCCGGCAGAGGCCAGGCCCATGATGACATGATGATTGAAAAGTCCGGGCTGTATGACAAGTCATCGTCCGCGTTGATGACACCCGCCAACGTCGTCACTGTAGATAATAGCTTCAACGAGGGCATCGTCGAGTCTCGGCACTCCCGACGCTCGGCCGTGCCAACGGAATGGGCTGCCGGCGGCCCATCCCGGTCCAGCGGGACCGAGGACCAGGGTAGCAGCAGCGACCAGCCCTCGCCGTGCGACCAGCGATCTGGAGCCCCTCCACGGGCGCTCACTAATGATGAGATTCACGCGGTTCATACGAGAAGCTCTGATGGGTCGCGGAGGAAGAGGCTGGTTCACATTTAGGTTTGTGTCGTGATGTCTTTTTGTGTCTAGATCTTATCTGGCCTCATGCGTTCCAAACTCATTTCCTTGCCTTTAATCTTTTTTTTTAATCTTTCCGTTTTTCGATCAATGGCCAAGGTTGTGGGGGAAATCAGCTGTTGATAGTTGGGCGTCACGGGTCGCTGTTGGGAGTGCGGCATGATCTGTCCCGCCATATGTGTAGGACAATACAAATTCCTCCATTCTTCTTTGTAGCGATCAAAATTATCCTACGTGTTGATCATGGGCTTGAATTGAATGCCTCGTCCCCTGCGTGCACTGACACTCGCATGTCCCTGACACCTACGAGATAAGTGGACCATCAGATTAGATAAGATAACATGAATTCCCTCGAATCCCTCCCAAGTTTCTTGGCAACAATGATTGTTTCATCCTTCCTCGTACCTGGCTAAGGGGCATCCTCCAACAATGATGCTCTCTGTATATAACGCCGACTGACTGCACATACACACTCGCAAGGAATCCTCCCGAGGAAAGAGGAAACCTCGCACGAGGAGAGAAGGGCCACGACGAGAGTCAAGCGAAAATGCCCCCCCCACAACTCAACACAAACCTCCCCCGGGATGACGGCCTCCTCCTGTCGCCGGCAGGCTACGACGACGATGCGTCTTCCATCCACACGGCCCGAAGCGAGCAAGACACGGATAGCGACGATGACGAGCTGCAGAACCGTGCGCGCAACAGCCGGGAACTGCGGGCGCGCGACCGCCTGGTCCTCATGGACGAGGATGAGATCGAGGGTCTGGTAGCTAGCTCGTGGAAGAAACAGGACCGCAGGGTGCACAGGCAGGGTTCTGGCCTCAATGTTCCCAACCCGCTCAAGATGCTGAAAAGGAGGGGGAGTAACGCGTCGATGGCTAGCTCCGCAGACGAGGCGACACCGACGCAGGCGACGTATAACAGCCAGCAGGATGGGAAGGACGAGAAGCGTAAGACGAGGCGCGCACGTCGGGAGCAGAGGAAACGACAGATCATGGAGGATGCCGAGCACGGTGAGGATGGACGGCTGATGTACGAGATGGAGGCGGGCGCCATGAGGGAGGGCAGCACAACGGGAGACAGCAGCGACCGCGAGGACAGCGATGAGGTCGACAGGCGGCAGCTGGGGATCATGAACAAGGCGCATAGGGGCCGGTCGTGGAGGCGCTGGATCCTGATTTACAGCCTCATCGCCATCGGGTTTGCCATCCTGGTTCTTGGGGCGTGGAAGCTGTCCAAGAAGCGCAGGGCTGCAAACGCAGCAGTGGTTCCGGCCCCGGTGCAGCAGTACGTGAGCAACGGAACGGCCTTGTTCGCCCCGACCACCATCCTCATCAGCCTTGACGGCTTCCGCGCCGATTTCTTGCAGAGGGGCCTCACACCCAGGCTCAACGAGCTGGTGGCCGAGGGCGTGTCGCCGAAGTACATGCTCCCGTCGTTTCCATCCGTCACATTCCCGAACCACTACACCATCGCCACGGGTCTCTACCCCGAGAGCCACGGGGTTGTGGGCAACACGTTCTGGGACCCCGAGCTGCACGACCAGTTCCACAGCACCGATTCGCCGCACAGCCTGGATTCGAAGTGGTGGGAGCGCGGGGGCGAGCCATTCTGGGTGACAGCCGAGAAGCACGGCATCCGTACGGCGATCCACATGTGGCCGGGCAGCGAGGCGCGCATACTGGGTGTCGAGCCGACCATCGTAGACAAGTACAACGGTGACGAGAAGCTGGATAATAAGGTGCAGCGCATCTTTGATCTCCTGGACATGCCCGCGCAGGACGAGAATTATACCGTGGCGGCGACGGACGTCAGGCCCCAGATCATCGCGGCGTATGTACCCGACGTGGATGCTGACGGCCACAGGTTCGGCCCCAACAGCACCGAGGTACTCCTCGCCATCACGCGCGCGGACAAGATGGTTGGCGATGTCTTTGCCGGTCTGCAGCAGCGCAACCTCTCGGACCTCGTAAACGTCATCGTCGTGTCGGACCACGGCATGGCCACCACCGACACCTCGCGCGTCCTCCAGCTCGAGGATCTGGTCGACACCTCCAAGATCGAGCACGTTGACGGATGGCCTCTCTCCGGCCTGCGACCTTACGACGATGCAGACCTCGACTCGCTGTATGACCAGCTGTCTGCCAAGGCAGAAGAAGACAACCACCAGAGCTTCGAGGTCTATCTGCGCGACAAGAACATGCCGGAGCGGTACCACTTCTCCAAGAGTGAGCGGATAGCTCCCCTGTGGGTCGTACCCAAGGCAGGTTGGGCCATCGTGACAAAGGCCGAGATGGATGTCGCGCAAGCCAAGGCGGATGGGACCGTGTACCGTCCCCGCGGGCTGCACGGCTACGACCATGAGAACCCGCTCATGCGTGCCATCTTCATCGCTCGGGGACCTGCGTTCCCCCATCCCGCCAACAGCGAGCTGCCTGTTTTCCGTAAGCCACGCCATCCCATCCCTTCGACTTCTTCTTATCCTAGGCCGTGGATGATGTCGCTGAAGGATCCGAAACAAGAGAGAAGAAATGCTGACTCTGGTGTTACAGAAAACATCGAGGTGTACAACCTCCTCTGCGACTCTGTCGGCATCGAACCCAAACCCAACAACGGAACCCTGCGCCTTCCCCTCAAGCCCATCGGCACCCACAAACCAGAGGACCACCCTGCCGTTCCCGAGGATCCGGCCACGGAACGTCCTACCGTCACCACCGCGTCCGAGCCGATCAGGCCGACAGCTCCTGCTGCTAGTAACGTGCCGCCTCAGGTCGATGAACCGCCTGTGGAGAGGCCGTCGTCTGCCGGGGACGGCAAGGAAGACAGACCACCTGCCTCCAACGGAGATGGCGGCGAAGAGGGCGAGGGCGGAGACAAGGACAAACACAAGTCTTTCCTCGGCGGCATGTGGGATTGGGTCACGCACAAGGTCGACAAGGTCTTGGATACTCTCAAGGGGTCCGGCTCTAGCTGAATTCTCTCTTGTACGATAGTCATAGCTTTCCCCCATTCCCTCACTCTCTTGTTCCCCCTTTCCTTGTCCTCACTCTTCTTTCTTGTTGACTGGTATGGAGTTCTTCGATTGTATTCAGCACGGAGTACTGTTTTTATGATTATATTTTTATTTTTATTTTTATTTTTATTTTACGGATGGGAAGCTACTAGCACTCGCTAATTGCGTATAAACGCGGACCATCCTATCCTCGGGGTTTCAATGTTTTCTTTCACGATGATACTCGCCTCTATATACGTTCCAGATAATTTCCTGCATGCAGTCCTGGGTCATTTCCACGAACACACATTGCTATCGCGAGCCTGAGCTGTCACATGGGAGAGTGCCTCGCTGGGCATGCATCGACGACACGTCCAGGCACATCTGATGATGGGAAACTGGTGGTCCCTCGAAGGCTAAGAATCCAGCTCGCATACCCGCCGCGGACGGCCGAGTGAGCTTGGGGCTACATGCAACGTAGCCCCGGGCTGAGCTGAAGATACGATGCACGTGAGGATATGACCGTAACCGTACGAGCGATGGTCCTCAAGGCTGGAATGCGACAAATCGAGGAGGTACTTCAAGCCAGCGGAATCCAAGCCATCGTGTCTCAATGAGGACGTTCAACGGAGAGGCCTATGACTTCTATGCTCGGGTTTGCTCGACCATCTCAACATATCAGCACTCACTGCACAGCATCTGTCAGCATGGTGAAGAACTGGTTCGAGACGAAGACCCAGGAAATGCAGTATCGCTTCGAACCCGCAACTCTCTCCCTTGCATCTCTCCATGCTAAGTAATGCAGTGACACCATGGGTGAAGCCCTCACCAGAACGGTTGCTCGGTTTCCAACTCGTCGACCTCTCACAGGACTGATGGACCAACGTCAGCTCGACAACAAGATCGATGACGCTTCGGCAGTCCATCTCACGGCAGAGCACATGTACGGTCAGGTCGGTAAAGGGACCGATATACCGTATCCGAACTCAGCCACATGCACCACGAGTTGATATTATCGAACTCATCGTCTGGTGGTTATCGTATCACCTATCACCCCCGTATTGACTGCATGTGCATGGGAGCTATTGTTACTCCGTGCATTGCATCATACGGATTGTACTCAAGCTTAGTCATCTGACATTGCATATTGGTGAGCGACACGGGAAGCCACAGTGTATGACGAGGTGAAAGACAGAATAGGTACGGTGACTGTATAGACATGCTATTCATCATTTAGAGAGAAGGAATCCTACATTCGACGTACCAATAATAATAATAATAATAATAATAATAATAATACCATTACGGCCTAGCCATCTGCAAGCAATGTCAGGGTCTATCTTTCTCTTGTACTCTGTCTGAGATCAAGAGGGTTTTTGTTTGGGGGGGGGGGGGGGGGGGGGGGGGGGCACGCAGAGATCCAATCCCCCCGGCCCATTCCAGTGATTTCACCCATCCCGTGCGGCCCATGCCTCTCCATCCAGTGGCATCCACCCGCACTCGCCGCCTGGTGTACCCTTGTACAAGTAGTGAGCACTGAGTAGTGATGCTGCCCTCCCTCCGCCGAAAAGTTACAGTGGGTGGCTTGTGCACTTAGCATATGTGCACGGCCGTGAATCCACGCGATCCTTCCCTTTTCACCCATCTATCTTGCGACACATGGTCGTAGTGATTTATCCCTTCGTCGCATATCTTGACACTTCACCTCGTCCTCGAACACCCTCACTTTCCCGTCACTGAGACCAGCCCTGCTCGCCTCATCTACTCGTTTCCACTCACGAAAACCAGAGACTCTCTCTCAAGCCAGAAGGCAAGCAGGGGACCTCTCTTGGAGGGCACACGTGGCTCCACCCATCTCAGTGTCCCGCGCCGCCTCATGGGCCGGCATGCCCATCTATCCCACCGTTGACGGAAGGGTGCCCAGCCTTCATCGTCCCGTTCATCTCTACCGCCTCCCACGGCATCTGAGAGGACACCGAGAATAATGGATGAGATTGCTCAGCTCTCTGAGGAGCTGACCTGTCAGCAGGTCATGCTCAAGTCTCTCGAGGACCCCTGCTTTGACGACGTCGAGGAGGAGCGTGAAGAGATGAGGGCTGAGATCGCCCGCCTACAGAGGCTCATCGACAAGGTGAAACGAGGCAAACCACCGATAGAGGACGAGTACAGCAGCAGCGAAGGTAAGGCTGATTCGTCGCCGGCCGACACTTGTCGGCCTCATCTTCGCACAGGTGGCTGACGGAGCCCGCCCGGCAGATGACCTTGGAGAACCTCAGACACAGCCGTCACATGCTACCGATGCCGCAGCTCCGAGTACGTGAAAACCAGGCAGCTGCGCAAGTCACACTCCCTACATCTGCACGAGCTCCGCCCTGTCTTTGAGGGCTCCCCCTGTGGTGTCTTCGTTGCCCAACCTTGAAAAAATTGGTCTCCTCTCCTCCTGATATTTCTCTGCCTTATCTACATACTGCCCCCTTCTTCTAGCTCTGTGGTCATCGGGTCTCCACCACACGAATCAAAGGTAGTTGCGAGATGGATGATAGCTGACATGGATATCGATTTCATGCTAGACCCCTCTTATGAGCGTGCTTTCGCTGGTCCCTCTGGATCCTTGACAAGGGCGCCAGAATTCCCCCTAACAGAGGTCACCTTTTCCGACTCAGGCTCCGTGTCTCTGCCGAGCAGGAAGAGGGAAAGGACATCGACGCAGAACAACAGCGTAGATCTGGTCCATAAGTCGCGAAGGACTACATCACCATCATCCTGGACGACCCGTGACCCGTTCAGTACTCCTACTGAGCGAGACGGTAGCGGCGCACTCGACTATATTGACCTTACTGGGTACGAAACCACACCCCACCTAGAACGTGAATAGAACAATATTCAACTCTAGTTTTTTAAAAAAAACTAAATTAAAAATTTATAGGGGCGATGAAGTCAGCAAGCCTGACGTTTTTCGACAATCAAGGGAAGCCGCTCGGTACGAGCAAGAGGAGGCAGATCGTAAGATGGCTCTCCAGCTCTCAAGCCAGGCGCCGTTTTGGTCTGACCAACCATTCTCCACGAACCCGAACGATGTCTTTCATCGTCTCATGGCCACTCAACAACTGAATTATGGCCCAGCGGACACGAGACGTGAGAGCGAGCCCCCGTCAGACAACCTCGGCTCCCATAGCAATGATGGCCCACGGTCGGGCAACCATGACCTCCCCCGTGACGGCACTTCTGCTACGAGAGGCGATCCCACTATGCAGATGCCGGGATCCTACAATGCTTCTTGGCACGATCCCGAGCACACAGGGCTCCCACATAACCCCTCTTGGGCGAGAGGCCGGGGGGCTCCGATGGGGTGGGAGAGTATGCTACCAGTCTCGCTGGAAAGTCTTCCTGGAGAACCTCCACTAGGTCGAGCAGATGGCACGGATCGTCATCAGTCTTCATCAGATAACCTCGAACGTCGGTTTCCGGCGGGCGGTGGATTCAGGCACCCATCCGGCGCGCCCTGGGGTTCCATGCAGCCGGCGTCGGACCGCTTGTCGAGCGTAATCAACCGCACCAGCCAATTTGATTTCGTCAACGGGACCGATGGGTCGGGCAACGCCCTTCCCGAGAGGGTGACGGACTACCTTCACGATATTATGCACGACTCGAGAGTGACGGAGAAGGAGCTGGACGATCTTTTGCAGAACATCCGCCCCGACATGGAGATCCCGGAGAAGAACCGGAATGGTACGCCCGAAGGTCTCAAGGGGACCTTGTATTATCATCAGGAGCTGGCATTGACGTGGCTGAAGAGTATGGAGGAGGGGACCAACAAAGGTGGCATTCTCGCCGACGACATGGGTCTCGGAAAGACGATATCTGTCATATCCCTCATGCTGGTAAGCAAGGCTACGTCCCGGCCAAAGGTAAATACCGACTCCCGTCTTGCTGCTGTGCTGTTCCTGAGAAGCCGAGAGCGTTTGCTGATGACGACGACAGACAAACCTCGTCGTTGCGCCACTCGCTCTGGTGCGGCAGTGGGAAGAGGAGATCAAGACAAAGGTCAAGGCTCCGCACAGGCTGTCCACGTTCATCTACCATCAGAAGAAGGCGACGACGGAGGACCTCCTCAAGTACGACGTCGTCCTCACCACCTATGGGACCCTAGCGGCAGAGCTCAAACGGCTGGAGAAGTTGCAGGAGGAGGACAGGGAGAGGCGGGTCAACTTCAATGACAAGGCGATCGCGGAAAAGTGCCCCCTGCTGCACCCGACCAAGGCCAACTTCCACCGAATCATCCTCGACGAAGCTCAGTGCATCAAGAATCAGAAGAGTCAGACGTCCAGGGCGGCTTGCCGTCTTCAGGGTACGCACCGCTGGTGCCTGACGGGAACGCCCATGATGAATGGTGTCGTGGAGCTGTTCGCTCTTCTCCAGTTCCTCAAGATCAAGCCGTATTGCCACTGGGATATTTTTCGGCAGGTGAGCATCTGTCTTCTTCCCTCCATAGGGTGCATCCCCCCCGAGTGTATTTGTGCTGACCTGCCATCCTCCCAAAGACTTTTGGCACCTTGTTTGGAAAGAAGGGCGAGCCCAGAGGTCAGGCCATGAAGAGGCTAAGAACTATCCTCAAGGCCATCATGCTCCGACGCAAGAAGGACTCGCAGCTTGATGGGAAGCCGATCTTGCGTCTACCTTCCAAGACGGAAACACAGGTCCACGTGGAACTGTCTGCCGACGAGCTCGACTTCTACAAGCAGCTGGAGAGTAAGTCGCAGGTCCTGTTCAACAAGTATCTCCGCGAGGGGACCGTGGGCAAGAACTACTCCAACATCCTAGTGCTCCTGCTCCGACTCCGCCAAGCTTGCTGCCACCCGCACCTGAACCTGGACGTAGAGGAATCATCCGAGGCATCGACGGCGGACATGATAGAGCTGGTCAAGAAACTGGACCAGTCAATCGTGACTCGGATCAAGGAGATTGACGCCTTTGAGTGCCCCATCTGCTATGATGCCGTGCAGAGCCCGTCCTTCTTCATCCCCTGCGGCCACGACAGCTGCAAGCAGTGCCTCAGCCGGCTGGTGGACAGCAACATGGAAGCCGCCATCCGTCAGGGAAACGAGAGCTCCAGGTGCCGCTGCCCAGTATGCAGAGGCGAATTCGACCCTAGGAAGTGCTTCACGTACGAGGCCTTCCGCGAGATCCACATGCCCCAGGCAGTCGAGACGCAAGATGAAGCCAAGGTTGAGGAAGTCGCTGACAGCGAAGACGACGATGACTCCGGATCTGACTTCGACTCGGAGGCAGACTCCAACGCCGACGACGTCGATAGCAACGGCAACCTCTGGGACTTTATCGTCGACGACGAAGACGGTGAGGACAGCAAGGACGCCGTGCTCGGCAGGGAAGTCAGCTCCGAGAACAAGCTTCGGGAGGGGGGGGGGAGGGAGAAGTTCAAGAAGAAGAACAAGAAGAAGAGGGGCAAGGGTAAGGGCAAAGACGAGGCCGAAGAGGTCAAGCCGACGATGCTCAAGACGCTTCGCAAGGAAGCATACAAGAACCGCGAGACGTACCGAAAGTATATGGCGTACCTGCGCAAGACATGGCTGCCCTCGGCTAAGGTGACGGAGACGATGAAACTCCTGCGGCAGATCGAGGATGGCGTCCTATCCGACGGCAACCACGGCCCGGAGAAGACCATCATCTTCTCACAGTGGACCTTCCTCCTCGACCTCCTCGAGGTGGCCATGCGGCACGAGGGCTTCTCGCACCGACCCCAACGCTACGACGGCAGCATGTCGGCCACGCAGCGCAACGACGCGGCCCACGCGTTCCGCAGCAAGGCTGACGTCCGCGTGATACTCGTGTCGCTGCGCGCGGGGAACGCCGGCCTCAACCTCACGGCCGCGTCGCGCGTCATCATCCTCGACCCCTTCTGGAACCCATACATCGAGATGCAGGCCATCGACAGGGCGTACCGCATCGGCCAGTCCCGCGAGGTCGTGGTCTATCGAATCCTCACCACCGATACAGTAGAGGACCGCATCGTCGAGCTGCAAGAGCGCAAGAAGGAGATGGTCGAGGCCGCTCTGGACGAGTCAGAGTCGCGCAAGATTGGGAGGCTTTCCACCAAGGAGTTACGTTTCTTGTTCAACGGAACGAGGTGAAAAAAAAAAGATAAAAAATCTTTTCCTTTGGTCTCCCTTCTATTGCTATTTTATCCCCCCCCCCCCCTCTCCTTTTTTTTTTCTTCGGGTTTCTCTTAGCGTCTTTTTAACCACTTTGTTTTCCTTTTTCGTTCCAATGGATATACGCCTACTCCTCACTCTCCCTCAGTTCACGCCATGATGTAAAATACGTACTTTCCTTGATTTATTTTTCTCGTCCCCTTTTTCTTTTGTCGGCCCTCTCTTTGACGGATCGATCTTCTTCATCGGTTTGTTTATCTTCACGAAGTCTGACGATGAAGGAAAAGAAGAATGATGGAGAAACCATGTCGACAACGAGACACACCATTGCTACAATGCTTCAACCTCTCTACCCTTACTATTATTATTTGGCACAGTGAGATGCGATGGATAGAATTCGTTTTTTTTTTTTTTGCCTATATGCTTTTGTTGAGTCACGACATGGTCGTAGAAGACGAATTCTGCTACTAATATTCAAGTTTTTTTCTTTTTCTTAAACACACACACACACACAAATTCTTGAGAACAGAAATGGTGCTGCTGCGCGTATGAAATGAACTATATTCGCCATTGTGTTTTCTAAGAGAGTGCGACTGAATCAATAAATGAAACGTCAAAAGATTATACCCTTGACAACGACTCTGTCATCCCCTTGACAGCCTGCTCCAGCGACGTAGACGGTGCGTTATCGTCGTCATCCTTGTGGCCGGCCCACGTCAACGTCCGTGCAAAGTTCTTGCCGTCGACGGATGTGTTGGCGTGGACCGAGAGGACGGGCAGCGGGAGGGCCGCGTCGTCGTCAGTATCAGACGTGATGTCGTCTCGCTCGGACTCTTCGGTCCCCACGTGGAACAGGCACTGGAAGGAGCTGTTATCCGTGCGACGGATGGCCGTGCCCTGCATGTTGCGGGTCCACGCATCATCCTCCGCCGGGAGGCGGGCGAGGAAGAATTCCGTCAGGAGCCTGCCCGTGGCGGTGCAGAGGTACTCAGACAGGGCGCGCATAGTCGTGTACGCGTCTCGGTGGGGGGGGCACACCTGGTCGAGCGAGGGGGAAGGGAGGATGTAGTAGTATGTCGCGGTGATGGGGTGGAGGAGGGTGCGACCGCGGATGGTGAAGGTCACGTCGGGGACGAGGTTGACGACGACGTAGAAGTCGGCCGGCTGCAGCATGTTGCGGACGAAGAGCTGCGAGGCGGGGAGCTGGTGGGGGCCGCCGCCGTTGCGCGCCGACGACGAGGCCTCGGAGGGGGGGGGCTGGTGGCTGGTGTTGAGGATGAAGGAGGAGTCGAGGCCGGCCTTGCGCAGGGTCCGGACGAGCCCGCCGACGAAACGGGTGCACGACTCGATACTACGCAGACACATGGACCTTGCGATTATGGGACGCAGCAGAGTCGCAACTTGGCCGCGGTTGCGCGGATAGTGAGGCGGCAGCGGCCGCTTGCGCATCAGCTCGTTGAACCGGTGGGCGTAGCTTAGTAGTATATGCAGCGTCAGCGATATGGCTTCGGCCGTGTCGTCTACTGGCAGAGATGACACGTCTGGTGCTAGCGGCGAGTCTGGTGAGAGGAACTGCATCGTGACCTTGATGCCGCCGTCCACGTCGTATGTGAGGGTCGACCCGAGGAGGTTGACGTCGTAGGCGGCCAAGGAACGTGCTTCGCGGCCGAGCTCGTGCCAGAGCTCCTCGTCAAAGAGCTTGTTGCGTGCCTCCAGGACGCGGGTCTCCAGCGCTGCATCCTCGTCGTTGGATAGGTCGAGGGCGCAGCGGCCGAGCACCTGGCCGTCTCGCTCGCAGGTGATGATGAGCCTCTGCGACAGGAGGCGGAGGAGGTTGCCGTCCAGGTTGGCCGAGCCATCCTCGTGCCTCCTTATCGGTACAAGTCCCATGGCTCTGAATTCGGGGATAGCTATGGCGAGTTGATGTCAGTTACGGCCCCAGGTCTCCTCGAGCTGCGTAAGGAAAGGTCTGTCTGGGGTGCAAGGACCAACCTTCGGAGAAACCGACCCTGACTCCGAGGGTATGTCTATCCTGGGGCATCTTGCAGACGGACCACCCATTGGCCTGGACACCGATGATGTCCTCCCAGTACTTGGTCTCCGACTCCATCTCGTCAGTCAGGAAGGCACAGGCTGCCTTGGCCGAATCCCTCGTCTTGTTGATCTCCATGAGCGTCCACCCCAGCGCGACAGTCTCCTGGTCCTTGTCCTTGGCCTGGTCGGTGGCGGGCTCGGCCAGGCGATCTGAGCCGAGAGAGCCGATACCGACGACGTCGCGGAGCTGCTTGGACAGGGTCAGGCTGGCCTGAGTCGGGTTCTGCTTGGAAAGGAGGAGCGAGACGGAATCGAGGGTGAGCATGGCCGTCTGGGCAGCTATTCTGTTCGGGAGATGGCAGTCAGAAAGCGCATTTTCAGCGGCAGAGCCTAGTCGATTCACTCACTCTACATTCTTGAGGACCTCGAATCGCGCCTGGAGGGGGTCGGCGGTGTCGTTGGCGTCGTGGCTCTCATCGTCGTCGTCGTCGTCGTCGTCGTCGTCGCCGTCGTCGTCGTCGGACGCCATGTCGACATCTTCGGCAACTTCAGCCGCGCCTCCCCGAGCCTGTCTGGCAGCCTCCTCTCTCAGCTTCGCGGCCGACAGCGCACGGAAGCCACCCGGCTGGGCGTTGACGCGGGCAATGAACTCGGCGACATTCTTGGGCTTCTTGTCGGAGACGGGGAAGGGCTTGAGGGAGAGCGGGGTGCCGTCTTCTGGTGGTGCCATGGTGGCGGGATGAGCCTACGGGCGCGGTGACGACATGCGACCGTGGTGCGAGTACCTGGGAGATGCGGCAGACTGCAGGGGTTAGGCCGCGGTCGGGTGGTGCCGGTGAGGCTGGTGAGGTTTGGGGGGAGGCTGGACGGACTGGGAAGCTCGTGATGCGACAGCGGACGCTAGTCAATGTTGCGGAGCTCTGTGGTCTGTAACCTGTATCAATACGGGAATACCCTGGCCTGGCCTGTAGGTTACAGGTAGGCCGTCCCTGTCCCTGTTCGCAGTGCTCTCAGTGATCTCAGCCTCGGCCACTCTGCCCGTCCTTCCTCCTTGAGCGGCCGAGCACCTCGAGCAATTGAGGCAAAGGAAAAGGTGGGTATTGAGCTGCTACGGACCAATGACGGTGGACATCTTTACTGCGTAATAATACTGACAGGGGCAATCCACGACCCACGACGTAGGACGTACGAGTATGAGTAGAGGAGCAAAGGGAAGGCGCGATATGCGGTGCCTTCCAAACTTTTATCCAACGATGCAAGTCCATTGCTTTTTCATATAATCCGTAATCTGTGCAGTGTACAGGGTCAATGGAGGGTTATGTAAGCAAAATCGTTCGTGCTACAGTCCTCATCAGAAGACATCATGGATGGCTTGGGTCCTGACTTTCGAGGCGGCGATGGCGACTGAGGCATATTCGGGGCTCTACTCTACGGAATCGTACGAGCAAAGAGTACAGTTATGTTAGTGTTTCCCCGAGAGCCAATACGGAGCACATGTGTGAGTAATAATGCTATAACTCTTTCAAAATCGTGGATCCCGGTGGTGCAGCACACGCTGCTAGTGCGGCGACAAGAGTAAGGAGAAGAGAGCATTGGACACGAGAGGAAAAGGCTACGACGTAATGCCGTGCCCCGCCAGACGCCAGGGGAGTAGAGTCAGTTCAGTATTGCGAGTGATCTTAGCGGGGCGAAGATACAATTCATCATGCTAGAACGTCCCCGACATGGTGCCATGTTCTCCAAATTGGTAGCGTGGAACAATCTCACCTGATTTCTGATGATTTTTTTTCTCATGCGATTCTGCTCGTACACTTCCGCCCATTGCTTGCGCGCTGGATCCAGAACAGACTCCGTCGGAAGCAGCACACGGCTCTCGAGGGGTTGGTATGGAGACGTCGACATCGGTGAGAGGCTGTATACAAGTACGATGCGCATGCTGGCTGCGAGCAGGTAATAATACCACGTTGATGGAGCCGCATCTTAATCCTCTTTCTCTCCTCAAACGGCGGCAGCGGCGGCGGCGTGATGTGGACGTAGATATACCTGCAGAGTACTGATGTCACCGTGTGCCCTGAGGGCTCGGTACATGTACCCTATAGGTATCGATATCCCGACACCCCCGCAGCCGATAACGATAAGAGCTCAACCATCGTTGGTGGGGCTCTCTGCTTCTTGGCCCCGCGCCATATTTTTCCTCACTCTGCTCTGTGTACGGAGTAGACAAGGTGGACTGCCCCGATGTCAATTGCGGCTCCCTGCGTATAGACCCTCTCCCAGTTTGACGTCTCGCCGTCACGCCGTCTCCGACGTCTTCTCTTCTCTGTCCCAACCTTTCCTCTTTCCTTCCCAAATTCTCGATTTTGCTTGGGATCTAGAGCACATCCTCATCTGGTCCGATTGCACAACAACCCCACCCCACCTTCCCACCCTCAACATCATCCTCGACTGGTCCCTGCAACGGGGCTGTTGCTTCTCTCTCCCTCCCGACGGAACTCGATAAATTACCCCCGGCTCCTCCTCTCCCTACCATTGACCCTCTTCCCCGTCCCGTCGACTTGCTTCTCGCGCCCTCTCGTCAGCTGCTAGCAGCTCTCTGACGACGACTTTGCTTTCTACTCCCCACTACTCTACGTCTCTCCACCCCCGCCCCTGCTGTTGCGTCATCGCCTAGGCACGGAGTCTTTTCCCAAGAGATAACGAGAGCAGCATGGCTTCCAAGAAGAAGATTGCCGTCATGACCTCGGGAGGTGACTCTCCCGGCATGAATGGTGTCGTCCGCGCCGTCGTCCGCACCGCCATCCACATGGGTTGCGATGCCTTCTGCATCTACGAGGGCTACGAGGGTCTCGTCCGTGGCGGTGACCTGATCCGCAAGATGGAGTGGGACGACGTGCGTGGCTGGCTGTCGGAGGGCGGCACCCTCATCGGCACAGCCCGCTGCATGGCCTTTTACGAGCGTCCCGGACGCCTCACGGCCGCCAAGAACATGATACTCAACGGCATCGACGCCCTCATCATCTGCGGCGGCGACGGCTCCCTCACCGGTGCCGACAGGTTCCGCGCCGAGTGGCCCTCTCTCATCGACGAGCTCGTCGCCAACGGCGAGCTGACGTCGGCTCAGGTCAAGCCCTACAGGCATCTCAACATTGTAGGCCTCGTCGGTTCCATCGACAACGACCTCTCCGGCACCGACGCCACCATCGGCTGCTACTCGTCCCTCGCCCGCATCTGCGAGATGGTCGACTACATCGAGGCCACGGCCTACTCCCACTCCAGGGCCTTCGTCATCGAGGTCATGGGCCGTCACTGCGGCTGGCTCGCCCTCATGGCCGGCGTCGCTACCGGTGCCGACTTTGTCTTCATCCCCGAGCGTCCTAGGGGCACCAACTGGAAGGAGGAGATGTGCACCGTCGTCCGTCGTGTAGGTTATCCGGAGACGTCGGCACCCGATGCGCCCGCTTCCAGCCGTGGACAGTTCGCTAATGACTCTGCCGATACCTGTAGCACCGCAAGATGGGCAAGCGCAAGACCATCGTCATCGTCGCCGAGGGCGCCCGCGATCAGAACGGCACCAAGATCACCCCCGAAGAGATCAAGGACCTCCTGGCCGACAAGCGCGAGGGCGGCCTAGGACTAGACACGAGAATCACCACGCTGGGTCACGTCCAGCGCGGGGGCACCGCCGTCGCCTACGACCGCATGCTCGCCACCCTGCAGGGTGTCGAGGCCGTGCACGCTGTGCTCGAGGCCACGCCCGAGACGGAAACGTGCTTCATCGCCATCAACGAGGCCAAGATTGTCCGCAAGCCGCTCATGCAGGCCGTCAAGGCGACCAAGGAGGTGGCCAAGGCTGTCGACTCCAAGGACTTTGACACGGCCATGAAGCTGAGGGACACCGAGTTTGCCGACCAGTACAACTCGTACGTGACTACTACCAGCGTTCTCGTCGATGATTCCAAGATTCCCCAGAAGGACGTGAGTTACATGGCCACCCCTCGGCGCTCTCCTCTCCTCCCTTGCCTCGAGAACGGAGATGTACCAGGTCACTCGGATCCGAGAGGGAGATTTTCGGGTCCGGAGATGTGCACACCATCCGGAGACGGCTTTGACTGACCATGAGCGCAGCGCATGAGGATTGGTTTCATCAACGTCGGTGCCCCCGCCGGCGGCATGAACGCCGCTGTGCGCAGCGCCGTCGCCTACTGCATCAGCCGCGGCCACGAGCCGGTTGCGATCCACAACGGCTTCGCCGGCCTGGCCCGCCACCACGACGACAAGCCCGTCGCCGCCGTCCGGCCCTTTGACTGGCTCGAGGTGGAGGGCTGGGCCAGCAAGGGCGGCTCGGAGATTGGCACGAACCGCGAGCTCCCGGCGGAGTCGGGCATGGAGCTCATCGCCAGCCTTCTCGAGAGGTACAGGTTTGACGCCCTCTTCCTGGTGGGCGGCTTCGAGGCCTTCCACGCCGTCTCGCAGCTGCGCGCGGCCCGCGACGAGTTCCCGTCGCTGTGCATCCCCATGGTCCTCCTCCCGGCGACGATCTCGAACAACGTTCCGGGAACGGAATACTCGCTCGGCTCGGACACGTGCCTGAACGAGCTGGTCAACTACTGCGACAAGATCAAGCAGTCGGCCTCGGCGACCCGACGACGCGTGTTCGTCATCGAGACGCAGGGCGGTCGGTCGGGCTACATCGCCACGCTGGCGGGCCTGGGGGTCGGCGCCATCGCCGTGTACACGCCGGAGGAGGGTGTGAGCCTGCAGATGCTCAACGCCGACGTGATGCACCTCAACGAGGTCTTCCGCAAGGACAAGGGCCAGTCGCGGGCCGGACGCCTGATCCTCATCAACGAGAAGGCGAGCAAGGTGTACGACGCCAAGCTCATCGCGAGCATCATCCGCGACGAGGCGCACGACCGGTTCGAGAGCCGCGAGTCGGTGCCCGGACACGTGCAGCAGGGTGGCGTCCCGTCGCCGATGGACAGGTGCCGGGCCGTCCGTCTGGCCATCAAGTGCATGCAGCACCTCGAGAAGTTTGGGACCGACGCGGCCGAGAGGGTGAGGCAGGATCCGCAGAGTGCTAGCGTCATCGGCATACAGAGCGCCGAGGTGGTATTCTCGCCGATGGTGGACCTCGAGGACGACAAGGTGACGGACTGGTCCAACAGGAGGCCCAAGGAGGCTCCCTGGATGGAGATGCGCAGCGTGGTGGACATGCTCGGGGGAAGGCCGGACTACCCCAAGCCTTCCAAGGGTCTGCAGGGGTTCGTTGCCAAGGATGCCAAGAGGGGTATCATCTGAAAGTTGAGCTGTGGTCATTCCGTCGCGCGTGTGTGTGCGTGTGCGAGTGTGTGTGTGTGCGTATCTCACTCTCTATCTATCTATCTCCACCTCTCTCTTCTTTTTTTCTTTCTCTTTCTGGTTCTATGTGGTTGATGAATGAAATATGATTGCATTGTGTATGAATATGACTAGGCACGTCGTGGATATTACAAGGGTACATCTGTAGGCTCGGGCCGGTTCGTTCGAGTATATGTGTAATATATATATGTGGGTGTGTGTGCGTGTATGTGTATGTATATATATATATATATATATATATATATGTGTGTGTGTGTGTGTGTGTGTGTGTGTGTGTGTGTGTGTGTCAGTCATATGACGTGCGTATTAATATATATTATATATAGTACTATCTGATCACTGCGACAGTACGGATAGTGCCACGAAGTGATGATAATACTAGTGGTATTATTGATGGTAGGATGAACCACGAGCAAAACGTCATAGGTCCCAAGGGTGCAAGTCATCGACTGATACCGTCATCCCAGACCAAGTTTTGCAGTTTTCTGCACGGAGGGACTGACTGGCTACACTGACTGGCTACAGCTGGGCTGTGCTTGTCCGGCTGTGCACTACGGGTACTGCCATCATTACACCACTGCGATACGGCGTGAAAGGCAGTAGAGCACTATAATACCATGCAAGATTGCGTCAACGGCGGTTCGATTCGCCCCGCCTGAGGATGAAGAGGAGGAGGGTGGCTGAGGAGGGTGGCTGGGGAGGGGGGAGGGGGGAGGGGCCGAAAGCACGATGTTCCGAGGGAAAAAAAGAAGAAAAAAATTATGAATAATGATGATAATGACGGTAGCAATCATGAATGACGATGTAGGGGAGAACTAGAGTAGATGAAGTGGACGTCTAGTTGAATGAGAGCAGGTTCGGTAGAGAGATGTTTTTTTTTGGCAGAGAGATGGATAATCATGATGGAGAGAAATCAGGCCAGTGGTGGGGTAGGGGAGGGGGGTAGGTGAGAGAGAGAGAGAGAGAGAGAGAGAGAGTAGAGGAGACGTAAGAGCGTAAGAGCGTAAGAACGCAAGAAGAGAGAAAGAGAGAGGGAGAGATAGTAATAACACATGCGTGGGTACCAGAATATGCATCCTGTTGGGCGCTTGTGACCTGAATGTTCGTCTCATGCACCTCGTCATCCATCCGGTTTGACCCCTCATCCCCAAGACAATCAGGCAGTCAGTCTCCAGTCCAGTTTCCTACCTCTTCCCAGCTTTCCCGATGACCCTTGTCAGCGCTTCCATGCATACGTACTGTACTGGGTGTGATAATACGACTAGTAATATTTGCTAGGTCGAGGAAGAAGGATTTGAGTAAGCCCTGTTTTTATTTTTCTTCTTCTTCTTCTACTTCTCCTACTCCTTCTACTTCTACTTCTTCTTCTTCCTCTCTATCCTCCTCTCTCCTTCCATCTTCTCTCCCACTCCTGTCCGACGAGGCCCTGTTCTCTTCATCTCTCTCTCGTCTCTCTCTCACCTCTCTCTCTCTCTCACCTCTCTCTCTCATCTCATCTCTCTCTCTCTCTCTCTCTCTCTGCGTTCTTTGTTCATTCTTCTGAAGCCTTCAAAGTCCCCCGCATCATCATCGTCATTCATCATCACTCACGCAAACCAGTACTTGACACTGCAGACCTGACGGGTGATATATACCCTCTCACACTACCCAGTGCTGGTAGCGTATCACTGCAAGTAACAGCAATACTACTTCCCGTAGTAGTGTGCTACGCGCAACCATGTCCCGCCCACGAATGACTTCCTTCGAGGAGGGCGACTACTACGCGGCGCCGCGTCAATCGGACCCGACCTTTGACGAGTCCTACCGCCACCGTCGTCGCGTGGCCAGCCCGCCGCCGCCGTCGCGCCACGGCTCACGCACGCCCGCCTTCCTGCGTGAGAACGGACGGCCGATGGAGCCGGGACCCATGGTGCTCCGACAGCGCGACGTGGAGACGTACGACCGGCACCGTCCCACCAGCACCGACTCTCAGAGGGCACAGGACCACCGCATGGCCCGCCGTCTGGGCGGGCAGCCGCGCGGCGATCCGCGGCAGCAGCAGCCGCCATACTACGACGGCGGCTACGACTCGGCCGGCCCGCTGCGGAGGTCGAGGTCGGCCGACAGGATCCGCGCCCGCGTCATCGATCACAGGGACGCGTCGCCCGACTCGCTGACCGACTCGTCCGACACGTCATCCGTCGCCGCGTCGTCCGAGGCCTCGTCCCCGCCGCCCAGGCGGGTGGTACGCGAGCCGACGGTGGAGCGGGACGTCATCACGCACTACCGCGGCATCGACCACGGTACCGTGCCCGCCCGCCCGCCCAGCCCGCCGCCTCCGCCGACGGTGCGGCCCTACGTCACGGCCACGCGGGGCCGCGAGACGGACATTGACGTCAGCCTCAACAGCAGGGGCGACGTCGACGTCGACGTCGACGTGCGCAGCCGGTCGCGCAGCAGGCACCGCCCGGCCAACAGCGGGCGCCTGGTGGTGGGCCGGCCCGAACCGCCGCGCCGCCGGCGCGCCCGCTCCGCCGCCCCCGCCTACCCGCCCGTCGCCGACGAGGGTGACCGCATCAGCTCGACCATCGACGCCCGCGGCCGCGTGGGCGAGGCCTACGGCGGCGCCACGCGCGACTGGGCCATCGTCGACGTGCCGCCCGGCACCGAGCGCGTGCGCATGTCCGGCATAGGCGGCGGCGCTACCGATACCGCCTGGACCAAGTACTCCGGCGTGCGCAGGACGCAGTTCATCCCCGGGCCCGAGCAGCCGCCCGCCCTCGACCACGCACCCCGGAGGCACCGCAGGAAGAGCCTGGGCGAGCACAGGCAGAGGGACGTCGAGGTGCAGATCGACATTGACAGGCGCAGGAGCGTGCAGCAGCCGCAGCCGCCGCCCGAGGGACCCCCGCCCAGGGAGATGTGGACCGAGGTCAGCAAAGATCTCGTCAGCAGGGAGGCCATAGAGGCTCTGGGGTACGAGTACGAGGACTCACCCATGTTCTACTACATCATGACGTATCTGCATTATGTGAGTACCACAGCTGAAAAGAAGAAGAAGAAAGAAGAAGAAGAAGAAGAAAGAAGAAAATATTCTTGAGCGAGGCCGGCGTGAGGATTGGGGTGACTCTGCGCTGACTGACTCAAACATGAAAATAGGACGATGTCTTGCAGCTTACGGAAATGACAAAGGATATCCGACGCAGGCGCAGGGAGGAGAGGGATTACTACAGACACGGTCACCGCCATCATCATCATCATACGCCGCCGCGGAGAGAGATTGCCTACGATGGACCGTATTACTGAAGGAGGGTCGGTCGGGGTTTGGGGCTGGGGGGTTGGGGGTTGGGGTTTCAGAGGATCGAGGGGCAGCGAGGCGGTCACGATCCTCCCATGACGGCCACGTCTGTTGTTCCGCGTCCACGGTTTCTACAACCGGTCTCCTTCCTCTCTATCAAGACCTTGTGACTGGATGTAATGTTTCTTCTCATACTGTTTCTTCTTATATACACAACATTGCTTGTCAGTTTGGCCTCGGATCCGTCTTGTTCAGAACCGTGAGCGGGGGGATGTGATACGACGTACGGGTACGGGAGACCAGGCTCTCCGGACAGCGTCTTGACAGCAGCAGGATTCTCGTGGCCTCGATCCGACAGGATCCGGTCCCAGTAGAAGCCCTGAACAGTATCGACTGCTGTCGGTTACCAGTAGACTGCAGGCTGCGTGGGGAGAGGCCGTTCCAAGACATGGCATGGAAGGGCAATCTCCTGCGTCTGTCCTACAGGGTGTCCTGCAGGGTAGTTCGCATCGAAGCCATCATGGACAGAGCTCAGCGAGACGGCATCATCCATCACGCCTCTCGTCTGGGGGGTGACATCCGACAGGCAGCACGTGGATAAGACCGACGTGCGCGTGCATCTTCCCAGACGGAGAGCACGGCTGAGGGGGCCTGCCCGAAGAGCTAGCTGCGTCATGCGGCCACGGCAGCATGCCGTACAGCGCCGTAAGGCTCGAGGGCCGAGACTTGCGCGGGTGTTAGCAGCGAGCATCTAGGGTTCGTCACCACCTCCGCACTCCGCAGAAACAAGGCAGGAAGGGTGGACCGATGATATCGTTGTCCGACCAATGCAATATCATCACTACCATCATCGTACAGGTCAGTCACCAGCACGGTCGTAGATGACAAGGACGGCCCAGGGAGCGAGATTGGAGGACGAGAATTTCCTTGACGATGAACTCGATCGTGTTCATCCTGGACGGATCATGATCAAGGATGTTTTCCTTCTTTCCTTTTGTTTTGTTTTGTTTTTTTGTTTTGTTTTTTTTTGTTTGGTTGCCATGGAAAGAAAGGAGCAAGTGGGGGGTTGAGAAAGTGCGATATTCATCTGTACAGATTATTCTTTCAGCGCTTTTCCTTTTTTTTTTTTCTTTTTTTCTTTTCTTTTTCGCACCGGCCCTTGTCCTCTTTCCGCACCAGGAAGACGGGGAGACAAGGAAAAAGAGAGAGAGAGAGAGAAGGGGTAGAAGAAAAGGGTCGTCTTAGTGATGATATCTCATTACTCCGTTAGAATAAGACAGTGAGAGTGAGGAGGGAGGGGATGGAGCGGAAGAGTACAGGTACAGACACGTTCGCCTCCTCGTGCCGGACTCACCCTGTACATGTACCGCGGGCCCCCCCCCCCCTCGTAAGTTTTGCACCGTCCCTGGGAGGCTTCCCCCTGCTGCGTCATCGGCTGGGGGGCGGGTCTACAGGGCATTCATGGGGGGGGATCCCTTAGGGGAAGTTTCACCAGGTGTTCTGTTATGCCGGCACGTACCAGGATCAGACTGAGGGGTACGGCCAGCGGCGGGCTATCACCCTATCGGTACCCGTGGCCTTACCAACGTGGCGGTGGAGAGTCGGCGGCCCTAGCTGTAGGTCGACACGGTGGAGGAGGGACAGTGGAGGGCTGCTCTATAGAGGGCAGTCACGGGGGAATTACAGGCTGTCGGTGCTGTGGCGGGGAAGCAGAGATGTGTGTGATTATGTCCTGCATCTGGACAGGAATATACGACCTCCGAAACAAGGACAGAGAGGACGGGTAAGGATGAGGAAGGATGAGGAAGAAGGAGAGGAGAGGAGAGAGAGGGAGAAGAGCCATTGCCAGCCTCTGAACGAAGACATGCGTGATCTGATCAGTATTGGCTGCCGCCGATACCTACATCATCACCTCCCTCTCCTTGCTATGAACACCTGGCACTGCTACCGACGACCAAACCCTCCTCTCCCAGAAGAGCCCAACCAGGCCTAGCGCCGGTACGGATCAGGAGAGGGGAGATGCAGCACAGGAGCACGGCCAAGCAGCGAGCACGAGCCCCAGCACAGGGCAACTCCCCTCTCTTCCCAGATCGTCAGCAAACCTCCCTCCCCCTCAGGCGGCGCCAAGATACCAATCAATACCAATACACACACCAAGTCCATTTATTTCCTTCACCTCCTACCTCATCCCAAGATCCTCGGAAAGAAAAACAACACACACACACACACACACACCCACACCCACATCCACACTCATACGCAGACACACCCGAGGCCGCTGTACACTTTTCTTCTCGGCTGATACGGCTTATCCTGAATCCCCATTAAAGGATCTTCCGTCACTCATTCTTGGCCTCTTTTTTTTTTTTTTTTCCTCTCCTTTCTTCCTTTTTTTTTTTTGTCTTCTCCCTCCCCCCCCCCTCTCTCCCCCCCTCCCCTCCTTCGCCTGGTTCCATCGAGAGAGTCGCGTTCTCCATCCCCCTGTATCTCTCTTCTGGTGGTGATATCTCGTGCAGTTGCTCCTGCTGCTGTGCTCCATCGATCAGACACGTCTCGACGCTCCCGTGCACGGCACACAATACTTCCACACCCGGCTGCTGCTCCCGTAGCCGTATGACGACACACCCTCTACGTCGCAATCATGTCGAGCTCCGAGATTAATCAGGTGCTCGCCAACTCGCTGTCTCCTGGTTAGTCCAACGTCTTTTCGCTGCAGTTTACACTCTCGTCTCGGGGCTGTATACGGCCAGAGGAGAAACCTCTCCTCTGTTACCCCTCCTCCCTACTTCAGTGACGAGAGAGAGAGAGAGAGAGAGAGAGAACAGACAGACAGGCAGGGACTGTGAACTGACTCAACCTCATAGACGCGAACCTGCGAAATGCCGCCGAGCAGCAACTGACCCAGGCTGCTGAGGGCAACTTTGTAAGTATTCGACATCCATATTCCGCTCCCCGAGGCAGGGAGGGGGGGGGGGGGGCTTTTTTTCTTTTTTCTTTCTTGTCTCGTCTCTTGCGAGTATCTGTCGCTGACCGCATCGTCTCCTCTCTAGCCCTTGTACCTCGCCACCCTCGTCCAGGAGCTTGCAAACGACCAAGCCGACGGCTCTATCCGAACCGCCGCCGGTCTTGCCCTCAAGAACGCCTTCACAGCCCGTGACGCCGCCCGTCACCAGGAGCTTCAGTCGAAATGGCTCCAGCAGACGGACGATGACACCAAGAACACGGTCAAGCAGCTGACCCTGCAGACCCTGTCCTCGAGCAATGCCCAGGCTGGTGCCGCCGCCGCCCAGGTCGTCTCGTCCATCGCCACCATCGAGCTCCCCCGCAACCAGTGGCCCGACCTGCTGCCCTTCCTCGTCAAGAACGTCAGCGAGGGTGCCGCTCACCAGAAGCAGGCTTCGCTGACCACCATCGGCTACATCTGCGAGACCCCCGACGCCGAGCTGCGCATGGCCCTCGTCGCCCACTCCAACGCCATCCTCACCGCCGTCGTCCAGGGCGCCCGCAAGGAGGAGACCAACGTCGAGGTCCGCCTCGCCGCCATCACCGCCCTCGGCGACTCGCTCGAGTTCGTCGGCAACAACTTCAAGCACGAGGGCGAGCGCAACTACATCATGCAGGTCGTCTGCGAGGCCACCCAGGCTGACGACTCGCGCATCCAGCAGGGCGCCTACGGCTGCCTCAACCGCATCATGAACCTCTACTACGAGAACATGCGCTTCTACATGGAGAAGGCCCTCTTCGGCCTCACCATACTCGGCATGAAGTCGGAGGACGAGGACGTCGCCAAGCTGGCCGTCGAGTTCTGGAGCACCGTCTGCGAGGAGGAGATCACCATCGAGGACGACAACGCCACCGTCGAGAGCTCCGACCAGATGCGTCCGTTCTACAACTTTGCCCGCGTCGCCGCCAGCGAGGTCGTGCCCGTCCTCCTCATGCTCCTGACCAAGCAGGACGAGGACGCCACCGACGACGAGTACAACATCTCCCGGGCCGCCTACCAGTGCCTGCAGCTCTACGCCCAGGCCGTCGGTGCCACCATCATCACCCCCGTCCTCGCCTTCGTCGAGGCCAACCTCCGCTCCGAGGACTGGCATCACCGCGACGCGGCCGTGTCCGCCTTCGGCGCCATCATGGAGGGCCACGAGGAGAAGTACCTCGACCCCATCGTCAAGCAGGCCCTGCCCATCCTCATCTCCATGATGGACGACCAGTCCCTCCACGTCCGTGACTCGACCGCCTACGCGCTCGGCCGCGTCACCGAGGCCTGCTCCGAGGCCATCGACCCCGACCAGCACCTGCCCACCCTCATCGAGTCCCTGTTCAAGGGCCTCCTCAGCAGCGCCAAGATGGCTCCCTCGTGCTGCTGGGCGCTCATGAACCTGGCCGAGCGCTTCGCCGGCGAGTACGGCGCAGCCACCAACGCCATCACCCCTCACTTCAACAACGCCGTCACCACCCTGCTCGACGTCACGGCCCGCCAGGACGCCGAGACGTCGGTCCGCACGGCCTCGTACGAGGTGCTCAACGTCTTCGTCCAGAACGCCGCCACCGAGAGCCTGCATCCCGTCGCCACCCTGTCCGACGTCATCATCAAGCGCCTCGAGGAGACGGTGCCGCTGCAGTCCCAGGTCGTCAGCGTCGAGGATAGGATCACCCTCGAGGAGATGCAGAACAGCCTCTGCACCGTCCTGCAGGGCATCGTCACCCGCCTCGACAAGGACATCGCCCCCCAGGGCGACCGCATCATGCAGACCCTCCTCCAGATCCTCAGCTCCGTCGGCGGCAAGTCGAGCGTCCCCGAGGCCGTCTTCGCCACCATCAGCGCCCTCGCCAACGCGACCGAGGACGACTTCGTCAAGTACATGGACGCCTTCTCGCCCTTTCTCTACAATGCCCTCGGTAACCAGGAGGAGCCCGGCCTGTGCTCCATGGCCATCGGTCTCGTCAGCGACATTACGAGGTCCATCGGCGAGAGGAGTGCACCTTACTGCGACACGTTTATGAATCACCTGCTCAACAACCTGAGGGTATGTCTTCTCTCTCTCTCTCCCTCTGTCTCCATCCCCCCCCCCCCCCCCCCCCCTCCTGCCCTGCGCTTCTGCCAAGACGACTACGGTAATCTGCTGGTCGAAAGAGGGTGTACATGAAAGCTGACAGGTAAAAACAAAAAAAATTCAAAAATCACCTCGACAGTCCCCCGCTCTCTCCAACCAGTTCAAGCCTGCCATCCTGCAGTGCTTCGGTGACATTGCTGGCGCCATCGGCGGTCACTTTGAGACGTACCTGTCGGTCGTCGCCCAGGTTCTCGAGCAGGCGTCGACGGTCACGGCTTCGCCCGAGGGCCCTTACGAGATGTACGACTACGTCATCTCGCTTCGTGAGGGTATCATGGACGCCTGGGGTGGAATCATCGGTGCCATGAAGACCAGCTCCAAGAGTGAGTCTAGTCTCCCTTGCCATCTCTTCTCCCGTGTGATGACGTGTTCGTCGCTGACATACTTCTCAGCCCAAGCCCTCCAGCAGTACGTGCCGTCCATCTTCCAGCTCCTCGGTCTCATCGCCGGCGACATGAACCGCAGCGAGCCGCTCATGCGTGCCTCCATGGGTGTCATTGGGTAAGCTCATCATCTCCGTCCCGACCTCGGCCCCCCCGCCCCCCCCTGACCACCGTTCTGACGCGCTCACAGTGATCTGGCCGATGCCTACCCCAACGGCGAGCTCGTCGATGCCTTCCGCCAGGACTGGGTGACTGCCATGATCAAGGAGACCAAGACCAACCGTGACTTCACGTCCCGGACGACGGAGACGGCCCGATGGGCTCGTGAGCAGGTCAAGCGTCAGCTTGGCGGTGTGCAGAATGTCATGTCTTAGGGTCGTCTGCCCCGACCGAAAGGCGCTCCAGTCTCGAGAGGTGATGGCCATGACGTCTTGAGCGAACCGAAGCGTAAGGATAGGATGCCAGACCTGTCCGAGTGACCAAGGCATACATTTACATCAGGCTTCCGCCATGCAAAATCAAGACAAGGCAGGCTCGTCTCGACACAATCAGGTGAGGGAGATGGGCTCCCCCTTTTACCTCAACCACCACCATACACATC